TCATCATCATCATCATCATCATCATCATCATCATCATCATCATCATCTCCCCTGGGTGCTTTCAGCTCACTGCATGGCATAAACATCACCAGCCAACAACCATCCTCTGTCCGTCCGCTGGCTCCGTGTTTTTGCTGGCTCGGTGCGACGCGCAGAAACAAGGGAAGCTCTCTCCGCTCCTGGTGAGGAGGGCAACCCTAACGCGGTGAGGAAGTGGCCGGTGGAGGTTTTCGGTATGAACATCATTGAACATCCATGTCGGTGGTCAACCTGAGAATCTGCGAAGCTAGGAAGCAACGTGTTTACCAACTGAAAACGCAGATCAACAAGTAGAAGTTGCAAAAGTATTAAATAGGGCCCCAACATAGCTGGGTTGAAGTGGAATCAGCTTGTAATGACACGAGAGCTCCACGCCACAGGCTACCCATGATTTTAAGCCCCACCATGTGCAAATCATTTTCCCCCAATCTTCAACATCAAATGGTTAGTTTAAGAACCGTAAACCCTTTCAGTTGTTTCAAGGGTTGAATCAGACACAGAGTATATATGTATAGAAGTGGGATTCACTCAGGAAAAACAAACCCTTCAGCATTCACCTGTTTCGCATTCACCCAGGTCGGGTGTGCCATCACTTTTGCAAACTCTGGCTGTAGCCTATCGAATCTTTGGGCGCTTGTTCTGGGGTTTTGTCATGTCCCGAGTGAGCAACTACGCCGGTCAGCAGGGCCCCGAGAAGAATTCCTGGCGCTTTTGCTCGTGCAATTTGCCTCTGAAGATGCCATGCCTCAGACTGCGTTCTCGGACATTCTGTGTAATTAGAGTGATGCAGAGTGACTGACGGACTGGATGTTTTTGGTGTTTCTCATAAAAAGCTGAAGCAAACACTCCCACAGGCTCTGACATACCAGGTGTGGTGGTCTGCGCAACCTATAAGTCTTTTCAGGCCGGCAACACACATGTTGAGTTCCGAATCTCCGAGAAACACACATTGTTCCAAGACGATTGGGACTGTAAAGATGCTTTGGTTCATGCTTTCTTCGGGATGTCGGTGTCACGAATCTATTGCTTTCTCCCAAGGCTCATCAACTGGTACCACGAGGCAGTGGAATCTGGAAGGCACAAATCTACTGATATCTAACCAAGTATACGGCCAGCTCTATGCTTCATCATGTGTATGTTTCTGAGAAAACACACATCAAATCCAGGCGGTTTCACAACTGCGGCAAACACAAACCTGTTTCCAAACAAATCCTGCGGCCATGGGCGTGATTTTGGATCTTCATCACGTCTGGATCGTCTGTTCCGCACTAAAATGTCACCCGCAACCGCCCGTAACCTGTGTTACCGGGGGGTCCCGTTCCGCCGTTCCAAAACACGCATCCAAAGAGCCGAGAGGGCGCTTTTGATGAAGCTTCTTTGGGCAAATCTTGTTCAATCATATGTGCTGCCCTGCCGTTGTTCGAGACGCACGTATTTTTATGGCGACTGTGTTGGTCATTCCAAAGACCCAGGGCCCAGTGGATGATGATCGCGACTAGGTTGCAGGCCAACATCCCAAAAAGAGTGATAATCCTTTAGCAACTGTTACTGTTACTTGAGGGGCCACACCCGTCCACACCCTATGTTTAGGTTTCAATATGTTTCAATGTTGAGTCTCCAGATCAGCTCCATATAGCTGGTGGCACAATGTTCCCAGCCTTAGTCGCCAAACAACAAGCGGAACCGAGGACATTCCTGCTCTCTCTGGAACCTGCCATGAAAAACATCGATTCCCTCTGTCTGACGCCGCCCCACAAACTCACAGCAACCCCAAGTATCAGCTGATTTGGAAGGTGTTCTTCTTCCAGTTGCTTCTTCACGGCAAATCTGGGGCAAAGGGTTCAGATTCAGCCCATGTTCCAGCGGCTGAAGGTTTACATCGCCAGACCGTGGACCCATGGGCTCCCAACTGTACAAGCAGCAAGTGCTTCTCAACTCTCATAGGTGTCCCTCAGGTGTCCCTGTCGGACACGCACCAAATCAAGTAGTGCAACAAAAAACAGAGTGTATACACTCCCTGAGATCGGAATCGGGTGAATCTCAATGGCATTTGCCCCAGACTGACTGGGATGACCATGAGTTTTCCAAATATCAAGTAGGTGAGTGTTTGTTATTCTTTGATTGCTCTTTCAGCCAGAACTGGAACAACAGCAAACAAAATAGAGAACTAGCTTGAGGATCTGCTTGGTGTGGGTGCACCCGGTGTTCCAAAGGCCTTCTCAGGATCTAGCAGTCCAGGACCCCGGATTTGGGGTTTCAAGATGTTTCCAAAAACTCCCCAGCCGAACCTCGGCCTCTTCGACAGACTCCCGGAGGGCCCCACCGATGTCGATTCGACTGAGCCGCTAATCTCATTGGCCTTGCTCCAATACCATTGGCGCGGACGCCTTTGCACCAGCTCCCGGTGTACAAGGAACCTGCGCGCAGAGCTGTGAGGCCCCAACACCCGCCCAAGAAGTTCATCAAGTGGGACAAGGCCCTCCAGAAAACAGGATACAGCTGGATATGGAAATCAACCACTTGGACGGTGACATCGTATATTCCTTCAAAAAAGCATGTGTGCAAGACTGGAGTCCATCTCTTTCTTGAGCCCTGTCTATCGACGCTCCGCCGGAGAGGGCCATTTGCCTACCAAGTCTCTACGTCAAAACCATACCCAGACACGACCTGTCTGGGATGTACACTGGGCTAGGCTATAATCTGATATTCTAGGAAATTTGGGTCTTCTATCTGATCCTGCTGATTCAACATGATGTTTCAATACTTCTGTCTATTCTACCTTAGCTACTACTTGAGAACTTGACAATACTTGAAACGCTTTCAACTAGTCAGTCGATTGGTATCATTCTAATGAATTTATAGTGACATTCATTCATCATATATTCATCTACAAATGCTGGATGACTCGTTCCTTCCAAGATCGTTCAAGGATGTTTGAAGTGCAAACAGTTGTGTCTACAACATGCACCATTGCTGCCAGCCGGCTGTGAGCAGCAATAGAAACCGAAGTTGGTGTTCTCCTGCATGCGAATTCACGTGCTGAACAAATCTCTGGAGCTCCGCTCGTCTACCCAACATGAGCGTCATCCAGCAACGTCAAGCAGGTCGTTCACACACAAATGTGTTATGTTTTTTTTTTCTCAAGTGCACATGACCCAACCTCTGGATGGTGACCAGCGGGGATTCAAACACTCATCCAGTCTCTGAAGGGACTTTTCGCTTGCCCTCTCAAAAACCGCTGGGACCCCGCTGTGCGGTCGTGTTCGCACTTTGCGATCCAACTAATTGTGGAGTTCACTCAAACTTGCACCCAACCAACTGCCCCTAGGAAGATCTCTCTCTCTCTCTCTCAATATGTTGGGGCTTCGCTTACTTAACCAAAACCTCGCCTCGATTACAGTAATTGGGCAAATCACCTCGCCTCCCTGGTATGTTTTTAAACAATCAAAAAAATAAACATTTCGCTTCCTTCTGAAACCACCCGACCTGGGTGGTGCTGGTATGACTCACTTGGATTCCTTTCTTGTTCTGCCGACTGGAGCGGATGACTCCAGGCGAAGCACAGGCGAAGCGGTGAAGGCGGGGTGAGTAGACTGACCTGAAGCTCTGAAACAAATGACCTGGACATGGCCGACATGGTTGAAGGACCTGGAACAAACACCTGAAACTCTGCGTTTTTCATGGGGTTTGTTGGACATCTTGAAAAACGATTACTTTACTTCGAGTGATCCCCACCATGACATTTCATACGTGGTGGTAGTTATACTTCCAACATGCACAAGCCAAATGATGGCAAGACTCATGGCACTTCTTTACCACACACACAGATCCAGTATGGCTCATCTCGCTTCTCCTGGCAGCGGTTCAGAGATAAACGTGTTACTCACATCTGTTTCAGTGATCAGTGCCCACTGCGATCGCGAACTTGTGGTTGAGGTCCGGTAGTGCCCACTGCAATCAAGAGTTGGCGAGGAGATGGCGAGGAGGAGAAGAACAAGAAGAAGGAGTAGAGCTCAGACAAAATCTAACAACCCTCACCTGGCAGGTGGGGAAAAAGACTGCAGTGACCTGGACCGAACATGGCCGACAGGGTCTGCAGATGATCCATGCATTGCTATGCATTCCTTGCCCTTTGTTAGGTGGCAATTTTGAGAGCCACCAACGGTGACGCAAAAAGTTTTCGCACGTGTTCGCGACCGAGACCGGTCTTTTCTAAAGCGAACATATGCGAACATTTTAGGGTTTTCATGGCAAGTGGGAGAGAGCCCTATCCATTTCGAAGACCGACTTGCTCAGTTGACTATAGCCTTGTAGCTAAGAAACGTTGCTTGTGAATGGGAACGGGTGTGGGAACAGGGGTCGGCGTCCATCGACCTTGGCAAATCAAACTTTTAGAATCGCATCTGATGAGTCTTGTCAGAAAAGAGTGACCCAAGAAGTTTTGAGTGTTCTTGGATGCTTAATTAAGCTCCGCCCAATCTCAGTCAAGTGATCCAGTGACGTTAAGTCTTACTCTCCCTCAGTTCTTTACTAGAGGTGGAGAAGTGAAGGGAATTTCCTACTTTACACAATTCATAAATCGCTGTTCCAGCAAATTGCTCAAAGATTCCACATCCTGATCTCCACATTCATACCTCCCGGTCACATCCCATCCCGATCTCGGATCGTCCTGGGAGTACCAGTCGAAGTCGGGCGCTTTGGGGAAGAACTGCTGCCACAGATCCTGAAAGCCCAAGTCCGCCTGCCGGATGGGCAGTGTCTCTGAGGTCGGTCCCCGTTGGACGGTGTGCGATGGTCGGTGTGTGTGGGAGGGGGTTCTTTCTTTTTGACACGTTTGACATGGGGGGATGACTGGGCCCATGGGGGAAGAAAGAAGAACACAAAGGTTTCTGCACTCGTAGGGAACATAAACATCGCCTTAAGCAAAACTGGGATGACCATTTCCACTACTAGTGACACCTTTTGATGCGAGTTTGCCCCAAGGCAGGATCCCACGATTGAACCGTTGTGGTTGGGGACAAATGACATCCAACTTCTTCAAACATCAGGAGCATGGCCAGTTGGCAGTATCTGTTCCATTCATTGGTCTATGCTCAAAGGATCCTGCGAGCATTCAACGTAAATCCACATCTCTCCATGCCCTATGGATCCACATACTGAACCCTGAGGTTCGCTGATGTGTTCGACACTGCCACTGCTATGGGGCGGCGCCAGTTGGGTCCAGGAAAGTACCGAACCTGAGGTGCGGTATGTGGATTAAGAGGGGCCTTGAACGGCAAACGCAGTGCAGTTGGGCCTCAGTGCAATTGGTCGAAGCAAAACGGGCTCGAGAAGGTCGTAGCCTGAAAACGAGCTGGGCGATTTGGTCAAGCACACGGCACACGTCCAGGTGCAGTTTGCAGGAGAAGGCCAAGCGAAGCATACAAAGAAACCACCCAAACCTGTCTCAAAATACATATTATATCATATTATGATTATGTCAGCATATGTCAGCATCGAGTCCAAACACTTTCAGTTTGTTTGCAACTTGATTTCCAATGGGAAACTATAGTCAACACTTGATTTCTCTCCTGGAAATTCCTGGCAAAGTCTCGGGCTCCAAGCAGGTAGTGGTGCGAGAGGGAGAGATACCTCACGCTGGAACCCAGCGCATGGCGCCGCATGGGAGAGATGTCCCACGAGTGGAGGCGATTGAAACACTGTCAAAATTTGATGAGAACGTGTTTTATTTATACTAAGTACATGTAAAATTGTGCTAATTGTGCATGTAAACGGGATTCTGAACTGAACCTTTTGATTCCTTTTGTCATGACATTCCCGCAAACCCGAAGCTTTGTCATGCCATTCTTTCGTGAGGGGTCATCGATCGACTGTAGAAGTCAGCAGAGAAACATAGAGAAACCGATGGTCTTCCCCTTGATGATTTCATGGTGAGTGTAGAGCCATGTTGAGCCATGTTGACACTGTTTTTGGTGAACTGCAAGTCAGTCCTCTTTGTGTATCGTCAAAACGCTCAGATCGAATCTTCCACAGCCTCCCAGCCCGGATTCTGGGAGCCCAAAAAGGGCTGCCCACGTCAAGTCATTACGACGATGAGCACACATCGACCCAGAATCTATACCAATCTAGATACAATGACCATATATACCAATACAGAGCGAGTACGATCCCGGTCCGACCGAAACAAAGTTCCTGCAACTTCGGCATTGTTTGAAACTAGCTTTTTGCACCTTCCGAGTGTTCCACTTCCCTCCGCGCCACGCAATTCCTGGATCGAATGCCTTAAGCAAGAATATCCACATACGTAGGGCATATTATCAACTATAGATTCCAATGTCCAGGGCTCACATTGGTAGAAACTACCAAACAGTGGCAAAACTCACATGAGTTGAAGAACACCTCCTTACACCAAAAAGACAACCCACACACTCCGCAAACTCCGCAAACAAACACTGGCCGTTCGCGGAAGCCGTCCTCTGCTGGTCATCACTTCCGCCCGTACGTACGCTGAGGTGCTTGAACCACTCCTGATCTTGACCACTCAGACCAAAGGTCCCCACGCGCAAGGAGAGCAGCACGTTGCGCAAGGTCCGGGGGTTCACCTACTGTACAGGCGTGTCAAGGCGGCTGGATGCCCATGGTAAAGGGCTTGAAGCCTTGGCTTTTGGGCACCGTGTTAAGGCAGTTTTGAAGGGTCCTGTATGAAGTGTTTCCCATCCCTTTTGAAGAGCTTGTCACACGAAACTGAAACGACTGGGGCGCCCGTGATTTTTGGACCTTCTTCACTCCTCGAGTGATTTCGGTGAAAAACTGGTGGTTTCATGATCAACGACTTGCAACAATTCTGCTTTGTCTTAGCATCTCTTCCTCTACCTAGAGCCTTTTTGTGACTTGTGACCTCTACAGAGGATTCCTCTTCTAAAATACCATTCATCTGACAGGTGGAGAAATACGGCCTTGATATGCCTTGATCCTATCTGGCAGGTCATGTCTCGGTCCTGTAGGTCCTTTAGGTCAGATGAACCTGTGGGGAATGGGGACTGGTGGCTCCAGATGGACATTTCGGACAGCTCGAGACGTCGCCAGGTGGCATGTTCGAAGACATCAGGATGTAAGAAGATCGTGAAGTCGGAAAGCTTGTCATAGTTTTCAGCCAAGTGCCTATTCAGGTCTTTTTCTTCGCACGCAACCCCGCACGGGGCCGAGAGTTTCGGCGCCTAACCTTTCAACCTCCAACCACTGAGGCTGAGGTTTGGGGACTAATTCCTTTGAGTCTTCGTCTGGGTGCGGTTCTTAGGGGAAAAAACCTCAGGGGATTGATGTCTGGCTGAGTTGGGGGTGAACCTGGTTTCAGGGCGATGACATGACCGGACCGTCTGGTTGGAGCGACAGGGACACCTGGCCAGGTACTGGAAGTGGGCTGGGCCTCATGGGACTCGTTTGGGACTCTCGGGTGCAGACTGACGACTCTGACCTGTTGGCGATCACCAAGTCCAAGTGGGGCTGTTCTATGCCCCATGGGACTGCTCCATGGGACTGCCATATGCCGAGAAACTCGGCCAGGGTGGTGCCAGAGGGGTCTGGCCTGGGGCGGCAGCCCTATGGCAGTCCCATGAGCCGCGTGTTGCTCTTCTTCCACCCTTTGAAAGAATTCTTACACCCCACCAGTCGAGAAGACTTCAAGCTGGACGTCGTGTTTTTTTCAGACCGATCCTCCACGCAAGTAGCCCAGGTACAGGAAGTATCTGGCCGCTTCCCAAGCACTTGGGCTAGCATTCACTGGCACCACCTGGCTGCGCCACGACAAGATTGCTGACCGGGTGCCGGTGCACCACGAAAAGCGCCACGGGCGCAGGGCGAAGCGTTCCTTGAAACCGGTTCCGCCAGGGGAGCCTCCGGTGGTTCAGCCTTTTGTACCACAACACTTCGGGCTTCCCCAGTCAACCTGGAAGGTGAACTTCCCTCTTCGTTGAAAACCTCGGGCGACCCGGGGTGGCCCAATAAGCGCACCTCCTGAGCTCCGACCTGAGGTGGGGAGGAGCCCAAACCCATCTGGAATGAACGGAACGGAACGGAACGTAGGGGAGTGAATTGGGAAGGGAATGGAAGGGGAAGGGGAAGTGCAGGAAGGAAGGAATGACATGGTGGCAATTCTCCGTTTTGTGCATTTTGAGGGCGGAGTTCAGAATCCAGAATCTATACCCGCATATACAGAGTGACCGAGATGATGAAAGGGACGCTCTATGTCATGAAGATGATGGACCAACTCTATATACCATTCCTTCTTCTACAGAAGCTAGGGCATGAGTTTCAATGTGCGGCTTGAACCCCAGTCAAATCCCGAGGATTTGGCATTCCCAGTCAATATCGCAGTGCATTCCCGGGGGTGGATTGGAGCCACCAGTTAGATGAATTAGGCAAGTCTGGGATCCCCTCTGTCCAAGGGCGAGGGCAACGGTGGATCCCAACAGCTCGCCAGGGTCATCGCTGTGTTCGACGCCCGTCTCTTGCAGTCGACAGCGGCGCAGAATACGGCAAGTAAACCTATGACATGACCCTAGAATCCCTACAGGCCCTATAGTAATTACCTGGATCTTCTAACTTATAAGCATGTATGTCTTTCGGCTGGTGTTTCATGAACTTCGGCATACATGAAATGCACAGCGTTAGCTTCTAAAAAGGTACTCTAAACATCCAAGAAGCAACCTCAAAAAGCGTAGGAACCCTTAGCTCCGAGGACAACCGCCCTTCCCTGTCGCCCTTGTTCGGCTGGGGAAACCCATGGACTTCCAACGCCTCCACGTGACCGAAGAGCTGCGCTGCGGCTGCAGCTTCTGGAAGACTCGCCTTGGTCCGAGGCGATACATGGTGTTCTCTCAGCACAGCTCAGGAACACCCCGGTTTTGTCCATCCGAAACACACGTCCGATCCACGGCATCGCGCGCTCCATGGCATGGTGTGGATTCTTCGGCATCGCGCCGGTCGATCAAACGATGAGACCTGACGGAGGCACCGCTCGGCGTGTGGATGCGACCGTGTTCGCAAAGCTCTATGAGCTATAGCCTCTTGTACCGTATGTGCTCGAGGGTAAATCAGTCTGATCTCGCCATAAATCTATGAGAAATAGAAGAACACTGACCAAGCAAATGGACATTTACCACCCAGGTCGGGTGGTTGATAGACCCGCCTGACTGTCTATATATTCCATCTAATAACCCTTTGGGTGGTGCTGGTATAAATCCTTACTGCTGATGAACTACCGCACCACCCCAGGTCCAACAACTTGGACATATTTGTGCCATCGAACCATATCCAACCTCTGAAACCACTGAGACCTTTGTGCAGATTCACTGTGACATCACCCGTGGATGTCAGATGTCACTGCTTCACTTCGTGTCTTGCCTGATTCACTGACTTCTTCACCTCAAATCGGTGGATCACGTGCCAGGCCACGAGCGCCTTTCTGTCGGACAGCACCTCCCTCTGGTCGAAGCAGTCGTATAAACGATACAGGATCAGCTTTGCATGCCTGATTTCAGGTGGAAGTCGGTGTCGAAAACGAAGTCTGGTCAGTGACTGAGACAATGGCAAGATCATAGTGAGACAAAGCAATACTGCGTGACAAAAAGCAGCCCAAATCTGACAGCGCCACAGAACAGGAATTGATTGAAGAATATTGAAGACCAATGTCATGTGTTGGTCAAACTTCCTGTAATCCAGCAGTCCAGCAGGGGTGTCCAGCGGCAGCCAGCTTAAAGGCCCTAGCTGCTAGCGCCCGCCTGAAAGGCACTGGAGAAGGCAACCAGTCTTCGTCATAGCCCGTCTTCTTGGAGAGTAGGCCATCCAAGGGCTCATTGCAATACCTTGGAGGCCATCGCTACTTGGTTGGAGGCCATCGCTAGCTTCGAAGTGCCGGTTGAAGCCGGAGACCGCAAGGGCCGCACGGGGGTTCAAGGACCAACCCCAACGGGTCAGTCGAAAGGACCTGCTCCAGTCCAAACCAAAGGGCCCAATCATAGTAGCTAGGTTGACATCCGTGGGGGTTTGACCAACTCTCCTTTCATCATATTTCACCGGAAGAGATGAAGCACATGCATAAGCATCGGAAAAAGAGCAAGAATGAAAAGCCAACTGAGATATAGGCAAAACCTGGTAAAACAATTCTTTATACCTTAATTATACAGGATGGTTGTAATATGTTGTAATCCCCACTAAGCCATCCTTGTGGGGGTTTTGGTGGTAACTCAAATGAACACAAATATCAATGGTGCAAAACCAGGATGCGGCATGACCACGTCCACCGAATACTCCTGACCAGGGCGGTGTTCCGGGTCCATCATGCTGTCCTGCACTACTGTTACTGTCATTTCAGGCATCAACTCACCCTGTTTTAACTCACCCCTGTTTCGCTCTTGGGTTGGAGGCCATCGCTACTAGGGTGGAGGGTAGAAGTGTACCCGGTACCCTCCTAAAAACTGGACCCGCGCAACACACCATTTTTTTCCACCCGGTGTGTGATTCCAGACTAGTCGATAAGATTCCGTGGTGTAGAGAAGGCATCAGAAGAGCGCACCAAAGACAAAAGGACCCAGTGTGTGTTTCAGTGGCTTTGCAAGGGTCAGTTGTTGCCAATTGTAAGACGTTGCGCACCTGTAATCATCTTCCTGGATCAAGGGTGATCCCACCCCCTTTTTCAAATCATTTTTCGAACATTGAATTTTAAGTTTTGCCACAACATGTCATGTTTTTCAAAGGACTCCAGGGTCCAGTATTTGGAATCCCTTG